GAGGGGGGAGGGGGGCATTCAAGATTCTGGAATACATTTAAATATTTTTTACTAAGTAAGAAAATAGTTTTCAGTTTGAATTATCTTGGTTAAATATTTAGATGGAGAAAAAGAGGGAATATATTCGTGTGTAAGAATGTATGCTTACAAAGATGAAAGTGGAATTATTTGGAGGTTAGGTCGAAGTTAAGGGCGATTAATAAAAACCTTTTGAGAAAGATACGGGGAGTAAAAATCGATCAGTTGCTACTGTCACATTATTTTCTCCTTTCTTTATCGAATGTACTTGTATTATTTTATTCACAACTTGACTTATTAAAAAAGCAAACTTGGTTGCAACCTGAAATGTCATAACACAGCATGGTAATGGAACGCGAGTTGGATTCTATAAACAGTAGAAAGTTAGTGGTGAATATAAAAGATTCTGGAGTGCTGAAATGAAAAAGTTTATACGACGTGTTACAAAAGTTATGGTACACTTGCGAAGGATATTTATTTTAAGAAAAATAAAATAACGGTATACTACCATATTCTTGCCTTTATACATAATATTCATTTAGCATGTTATTATATTATAATGCGTATTATAGTAGGATATATTATTAGATTATATTGTAACTATATCATAATATTATTATAGTATACTATAATATATTATAGTGTAATTATATTACATTATTATTGCAGTTATTATAGTACATTATGTCGTTGTATTTTATGATACAACAATATTGCATTATATTATAGTATAATATCGTATAATATATAATCTCATACAGTTTCATACATAATGTTATGTAATTCGTATCGTGTATTACAATTTATTACAAAGTTACTATACTATATTATATTATTGGACTACAGTATTAATTATTATATCATGGTATTATATAATATTATAATATTATTATAGTATACTATACTATATCATACTGTAATTGTATTATATTATTATTAAAATATAGTATATTATATCATTATTATAGTACATATATGGTATATTATATTATAGTATAACATCGCATAATATACAATGTGATACAGTTTTATACATAATGTGATGCAAATAAATTCTGAAAACTGTTTGCTATTATCCATTTTATATCATTTATTCAATTCATACTATAGCATAGTGATTCCTCTTAGTGCATAATAAGACTTGCAAATATGAAACTTTTCTAACTTCTTATAAATCAGATACCTGGAAGGTCTTCAATGAATTCACGCAAAACTTTTCGCATGTCTCGAAGACACTTTGAAGGACCTCAACGTGACGTGTGATCTAGCAAGGAAACAGAGCGTCAGAGTGCAGGAAGTAAGCATTAGCAACGGAAGTAGGCGTTTCGAGTGTTTCCCAGAGACGTTCTCCTTGGAGTATCAGTGCAAAACGATGTAACCGTGGCTAAGAGATTGGATAACCCTCGTTTCAATGAAGAGATCGAGCACTTCTTCTTTTCCTCTTTCGTTTCGTTGTAGCTGGCTACGCGTTGAGGATAGAATTCATTCGGGGCTAAATTGATCGATGCCTCAACAGTCCAGCTTCTGTTGTGAATGGAAACTTTTTGACGAAGGTCCTTTCTTCTTCTTCGCTTTCTAAGCTTCGATGCTGGCGTTCAGGGCCGTAGTTAAATTGTCGTTTCCTTAAATTTTGCTCCCGTGAAAGGGAGAGAGATCGTGATCAATCACTATCTCTTGCCTTAATCTGAGACCCAGAGACTGACGAGTACTTAATCGTGATAAGTAGATAACGTTTGATGGTGGTATGTTGGTTTATTAGTTAGATACTTCAAAATTGCGAGAGTGTAATAGTTGGACAATACAAAATCGGGTCTATATAGAAAATGAGTCATTACTTTTCATTAATGTGAGAATTAATTAATATTTCTACAAATTCTTGGAATACTCTGCGAATTTGCTAAGAATTTTCTAAGAATGTAAGAAGTATAAGTTTCCTAGAAATTCTGGGGATATTCTAGTGACTTTTGGAAGAACTTTCTAAGAATATTATAGTGTTCATAGATTATGAAATCTACAATACAGGAATGTAATATTGGTTTTGAAAATAAAATTTCTTTGTTCCCTGAAGGAGTTAAATAGGAAGAAGTTAATGGAACCTAGCCTAAAATTCGCTGAAACCAAATCGACAATTCACAATGAACACTTTAAGTGAATTATACTTTCATAATAGCGTTTCCTCGTTTATTATTCACCTTGTAATTGATTCTATGAACGCGAAAGGAAAGACAAACGTAAGTTGGAAGACTTTGTCAAGAAGTTCTTAAGGAACGTAGCGAAAACTGTTACACTACAGGCCTTCGTGCTGGTTTCAATCTTTTCACTACGATACCAAAGGGAAAAGTTTCTTCGTTGATTCGGTAAAAATATATAGGTCGACGAATATTTATATCAATATTAAATATGATAAACTACGACTTAACACGTACAGATGAAAATAAAAATGACTTTAGGTTAAAGAGAATTCATAAATATGCTCAATTTTAGCAAGTGGTTATTGGATATTTAATATAGTTAATTATTCGATATTAATATAGTTAGTCGATGTGAAAAGTGTATAGTATCGAATTTACCATTTATATTCACTATTTATTCGTTTCACAGAATATTATAAGTTCATGAAGTCTGAAACTCTATGTGGTACTGAAGTAACTAGCGCCACCACGTCCTCTAACTCCTCTATCGTCGCAATGACTAGTAGGTAACAGTGCACGGTTAACAACGCGTAAAATAATATAAAATAAAGAATAAAACAAGCGAAAATAAGGAAAGAAGATACACACTGACAAAGAATAATAGATTATTATTGTATTATAGCGTAAATTTATGGCAACTCGCGATTCTATCATTTTTTATGGATTCGGTATTTATTGACGGATGAAACTTCTTTCTTTGTACTTCGTTTTTGATCATGAATAGACATAGAATAAAACAAAAGATAGACGATACACGAATGCAAATACGAATGACATTGTAGACAAGAACAAACTGTAGTATGAGAAGTACTACCAACTTAACGGATACTCAACGATACTGAGATCTTGGAACTCGATAATTTATCAAAAATTATGCTTCGTATTAGAAACATTGCTCGTGGTTACGCGTGTTTATTATGTATCACTATAAAGTTTGTATCGTTTCAATGAAGTATCATTTTGTAGGTTATGTTAAAAGATATATCAGATTAAAAGATACAATGTCTGGATTTGTTTTGTTTGTTTAATACGATTGCAGTAATTTGTTACAACCTATTTTCAAAATTTTATATTTATATATGCACTGTTATACACTATTTTAGTTTGCAGAATATCGGAGAGGTTGTGAAATTATATCTAAATTCTATCTTCACATTTGATAGATATTTTTAAAGTCGATGTTTTTATTTGCAATAATTGTAATAATTTGTCATACTTTTCAGACGCTTATTTTAGAGCATTTGTTCTTTTTATTATTTTGATTAGGTTAGAAATGAGTAATCGTTTTTAGATACTGTAAATCCAAAAATTCAAGGACTAGATATATTGATTTGAAATTTCAAAATGTGGATAGAAAGAAAATTTGGAATTGACCGAAATTGTAAATCTGGACTTATAGCTAAATGAATCAAAGAAACCTCACTACTTAATTATAAACAAAGGTGAGATTAATGGGACCTGGGGTTGCAAAGCTGACCTCTTGCGTAATTCGCTGGAACTAAAACGTGAATAAGCAAAGCTGTGCATTCTGGAAGAAGCCTTAGTTCGCTACAGAGAATAGTAATTGTGGTGGAGAAATTGCTGAGTAAGCCATAAATAATTTCATTTCTTTCAAGGACGAAGAATAATAGTGTTGTAGAGATTGTAAATTGTAATCCATGGAATACTTAATTTAACTTAACCTAAAAAGTATTTTACTAAAAAAGTTTAGCTAACCTCAGAAGCGTAGGTATGTCTATCTTTTATATAAACATTCTGAATGAAATATTTTCATTTAAAACACAAGTATTTCCAAAATAGGTTAGTCTTAATTTTACATTCAAAACAATTGTTTTCCTATTTTATTATAATATTGATATTTTCGTATTTGAATTTTTAATAATCGTTTCAATTTTTATTTTTCATTGGAAACTAAATCTCTTCAATTTTTAAATAATTCTTTCATTTTTATAATTTAGAAATATTCTTTCATCGCTATGA